CCCTCTGGACTCCTGGAACGGCATACAGAGGCTCCACAGTCACCTGCTGGTTCACATGAGTGATGGCGTTTGGTGCTTTGGACGGGGAACACCTGGAACAACCCAGGTGTGTCTTTAAAGTGGGTTCTGGTGCTCTGCCCTTTCCTCAAGAGCCCACCTCCTTGAGCTGTGGGGGTCTCCCAATCACCCAGCTGGCTAGCTCATCAGGGATTGTGCCAGGGGCTGTCAGCTGCAGTCACGGGCATCTGGCCAGGTGGACATCCCCTAAGGGCTTCAGCACTCCGAGAATGTTAAGAAACTCAGGAACAGTTTCCTCTCCTGCCCTCTGGGCTCGCCACCAGATAGCGGAGCTATCTTGAGCAGTCAGGCTGTTATTCATACCTAAGGGATTTTTCTTCCATTCCATTTAGTTTGGGGTGGAGTGTATGCTTTTTTTTTTTAACTTGACACCCACAATCCCCCATGCCCCGAGCTGTGTGATACCTCCCAAGGGCCAGGGAGACTTGATCAATTCTTTCTTCTTCTTCTCAGTACTAGGCTGGTGGGTGGGGAGGGGAAGGATTTCTGACAGAGAGCCAATGAGGTAAAGCTGTTTTTCTCCTCCCAGGCTTGCTGCAGGTGTCTGGGTGGGGAGAGCTGATACCGACCAGAGGCAGCTTCCCCTCCCCCTCCATCTCCACACCAACGCGGGGACTGCAGGGCTGGGGCAGGGGTTGGTGGCAGTGGCAGGAGGCCAGGGGTAGGCAAATTCCCTTCTGCGGGTGGGTGCCCGCTCCAGCGTGCCCCTTGTTTCCTCTTAAATATACTCCAGCAAAGCAGCCTCCTTGCATTCTCTGGCCTCAGATGAAATAACCAGTATGAAACAGCATGTCTCCCAATAGGTTGCCAGACACTTAATTTCTTGCACCAATCACCTTCGCAGGAGGATGAGAACTAAGTCTCGAGAGGATGTTTAGGGGCCTGAACAAAGCTGACTGGTGCTTCCGGGGTGGGCGTGCAAAGCTGGAGTGGGCTCACTTGCCCATCGTTCTTATTCTGTCCAGTTAGTTATTCATGGTGTGACTTTCAGCAGAGCACTGCAGCCTCGGTGGATGTAAGACGCCCTCACAGCTGGGGTGACCAGTCTCTGCGCGTCGTGACAGGGCTCCGAAGCCTCCCTCCCTTCCTGACTCAGCGGGTGACTCTGTCTTTGATCACTCCGTTCCGGCTTTAGCTCTTTGTCTCCGTTCCAGGAAAGCCTTTGCCTTTGCTCTGTCACAGCTTCCCTGACCTCCTGAGGCATCACAAGAGTCCCCACTCTGCAGACGGTGTTTCTGCTCCCAGGTGAATGGCAGGGGGTGTGGGGCTGTCAGGAAAACAGTAGGAAATGCCTGGGCAGAAAGGAACGTTCAGCTGTGATTACAGCACCTAGCATCTGGCCTGCACCACAGCAGGGCTCCGTACATGCTTGTCCAGTGAGTTAATGAATGCCCAGGATTCCCACAGGTGTGAACACCAGGATGGAGGCTCCTTCCACAGCCCCTGGCATGGATGCCTGGCTGTGAACGCGGCGCTCCCACTTGCTAGCTTGGACAGGCTTCTTTATCTCTCTGTCCCTATCTCCTTGTCTATAAAATGAGGATGATAATAATAATAAATGGTTGTTATGTGTAAAGCAGTTAAAATATTGCCTAGGTCTTTTATAATTGGTACCATATAAGTGTTTGCTATTATTATTAACACCAGAAAGATAGTTACTCCAAGAAAGTGAGTATTACCTTTAACCAGAAGCTGTGGATTTCCTTATCTTGTAGGCACTCACCCTTAGCCCCCACAAGCTCCCCCCTTCCACACACAACCATTTATAATAGATGTCTGCAAGCCTTTTCTGGAAAGGGTCAAATAGTAAATATTTAAGACTTTGCATGTCACACAGTTTCTGTCCCAACTACTCAGCTCTGCTGTTGCAGCACCGAAACAGCTATAGACAATGTGTAAATGAATGAGCAAGGTTGTGTTCTAATAAAACTTTATTTATAAACATAGGAAGTGGGCCAGATCTTGCTCACAGGCCATAATTTGTCAACTCCTAATCTATTCGGATTCTACCATTTTATAAGACTCTACTCAAATTTTACCTCTCTGAGACACCTGCCTGGATCCCTCCTGTGCCATTTCACTCTCCTATCCCTGGACTTCCAAAATACTGGGTTTGGAGGGATTAATGTCCTAGAAAGAATAGGGTTTAAGCTTTGCCCTATTGCATAACTTTAAGCAAAGCACTTAATATCTCTGGAGCCTCAGATTGCTCATCTGCAAAATAGGTATGGAATGTTTTGCCCTACTTAACCTTCAGGATGGTGTAAAGATCAAATAGACTAATGTACATGGATGTGATCTGCAAACTCTAAAGCACTACAATGGAAGGGGGACTTCATGATGTCCTGGTGCCCAGGACAGTGCATGGCACTTGGTCAACGTTGACTGCACTGAATCCCAGTGGTGGTATTAAGTACATGTTTTCACATTAGACGTATTGGTACATGTCTAAATGTGTATTGATCTCCTTAGGCAGATGGAGGATTCAGGGAAAACAGGCCCAGGAGAGAAGAAGGATCGTGTTTTCAGGGATAGAGTCTGCAGAACCTTTGTCACCTGGAGCTGTAGTTGGGAGTCAGAGCGCGGCGGGTCCAGATTACCACGACAGGGAGTAAAGTTTCTAAAAGTACATATGGCCAGAAATCTGTATTAGTTTCTGGGGCTGATGCAACAAGTCTCCACAAGCCAGGTGGCTTAAAGCAACAGAAATTTATTCTCTCACAGTTCTGGAGGCCAGAAGCCTGAAGTCAGGATGTCAGCCAGGCTGCACTCCCACAAAGGTTGTAGTGGAGAATCTGTTACGGCCTCTTCGAGTTTCTCATCCTTGCTGACATTCCTTGGCTTGTGGACACATCATTCCAATCTTTGTCTCTATCTTCATATTACCTTCTACATGTCTTTGAGACACAAAGACATGCCCTCTTCTGTCTAAGGATGCTCTTCACTTGATTTAGGACCTGCCTGGGTAATCCGGGGTGATCTTATCTCAAAGACCCTTTCTCCAAATAAGGTCACATTCACGGGCTCCAAGGATTTAGACATGACATCCATTTCAGGGTCCACCACTCAACCCACTACAATACTTTATCATTTTCACTTAACTTTTTATCTAAAGTATTTCCTATGTTGTTGAAAAGTCTTTCAAGAACATTATTTCTGATGGCTAATAATATTCCACATTGTGGATATACAATAAGTAATTTAATCCATTTCCTCTTACTAGATATTAGATTGCTCATGACTTTCCACTATTATAATAGGGATGCCATGCACGGGCTTTGGAGTAGGATGTTTCCAGGTCGACTTCTGGCCCTTCCATTTAGTAGGCATGTAACCATAGTCGAGTTTCATAAACTTTTCTGAGCCTCAATTTTCTCATTGTAAAATGAGAGTCATAATACTTGCCCAATGGGTTGCTTGGAGGATCATAGGAGAGAATCTATGTGAAGTGGCCAACAGCAGTGTGCTTGGCTCATATAACTGCTTAGGAAATTGCAGCTACTCTTGTTCTATTAATATTAATGACATGTCAGTTAATTTCCTTAGGATGGTGTTATAGAAGTACTTATTCCCAAGTCAGGGGATGTGGACAGCTCTAAGGCTCTTGATTTGTATTATTAAATTGTATTCCAGAAAAAGCATGGGCAAATACACTCAACCTTACCCAATCCTACATGGTGACTACTCTCCCTGGGCTCTGATGGCCACCTTAATCAATGGACAAGAATTTTAGAAGTACCTGTTATGGGCCAGGATTAAGCCCTGAAGAGCTTGTGGTTTCCTTGAGGCAACCACATTGCATACATGCCACAAGACAGTAAAGAATGGAATTCATTAAATTAGCAAATGTTGATTGAGCACCTATTATGTGTCAGCTACTGTGCTAGATATTGTACATTATATATTCGTGAACAATACAGGAATGGTCCTGCCCTCACACAGCTTATAATCTAGTGGGTCAGAGCTGGTTTGCAGCACTCATTCCTATAGCAAAATTCAGAGAGAGAGAAGAGACCTACGGGGATCAGAAGGAAGATGACCCAGAAATGGGCCATGAGAAAGGAGCAAAGTCTAGAGGAAGAGGAGTGGGTGGGCACGGAGAATTGTGCCTCACTGCCCCCGGATGTCTTATGGGGGATAGGAGTGGGAAAGGGCTGGGAGGCTACATCATGGAAGACCAGGACAGTGTTGAGCACCGGCCTGGCAGGGGAGGTCATATTTGCTTTGCTTTAGAAACCAGAGACTCATACAATTTTCTGAGCAGGAAAATGCCAATGGAAGTCATTTAGGAAGAATGGAATGGTCTGCATGGGTCAAGCCTGGAGCAAGAAGGCCAGGCATGCTTGGAGCTATAAATCTTGTCCTGTTTCATAAGCAAGACATGGTGGCATGACCTGGTGACAGGGCTTATGCCACCCGGCACGCAGACCCTGTGCCCCTGTCCCATGCCCTCCTTCTTTGAATGGTTGCCATTGCTTCCTGGGACACTAGGACCCTGGGGCTCTGGGGTAACCAGGTCCTAGGTGCTCTGGTCCTAGGATGTAGGAACCTGGTATTTTTTATTAAGTCTCCAGACTATAAGTGTTCCTGAGCCAGTGACCTTTCCAGGATTTTCTTCTGTTCCACTATGATGTGTTCCCCAAGGGAGGGTAAATACCTGATGGATTGACCAGCTCTGGGTCCCATTTGCTGGTTAATATGCTTCTCTTGTCAGGCTAGGGGTGTAGAGCAGGAGGGGGTGCCTACCATTCCCTGCCTGACCAGATCAGCATATTCCAGTCAGTGGTGGCAAGAGCTGGAGGAGGGGAAAGAACGTGGAGAATCCTGAAGGGATTTTGAAGACACCCCTGTGTATGCAGAGAACCCCTCTCCCAACCCAGCTATCTCAGCTCAGGCATAATAAATGACCACAGATTGGGGAGCTTAAACAACACACATTTATTTCTCACAGTTCTGGAGGCTCAAAGGTGCAGGTCAGGGTGCCAGCGGGGTTAGGCCCCGGTGAGGCTCCCTTCCAGGTCACGGACTGCTGACTTCTCACTGTATCCTTGGAAGGGCTAGAGGAGATAGATGAAAGAAGAGAGGGGAGGCCAACTCAACAGGCCAAGCAGGTTTACTGCTGAACCTGAGAGGGACCCCTCTGTGATGGCCAGCAGAACAAAGGAAAGAGGGACTCTACCAGGTCGAGAGGCGTCTCATGGCCAGGGTTTTCAGCGGGCTTTTTGAGGGGAGGGGTCAGGGGAAAGGTGGGCTTGTGGCCTGCTGACGTGTCCTCTGGAGGATGCTTGTAGCCTGGGTAAGATGACACCCAGGTCTCTCTGAGATGGTGGGTGGGCTCATTCAAAAGGTGGTACTCAGGCCCGGACTCTATCAATCCTCCATGGAGGAAGGGGCTGCAGGAGATCCCTGAGGCCTCTTTTATAAGGGCACTGAGCCCATTCATGAGGGCTCCATCATCAGGACCTAATACTTCACAAAAGCCCCACCTCTTAAAACCATCGCATTGCGGGTTAGGACTCCAACCTATGCATTTGGGAGGGCACAGCCACGCAATCTAGGACATAGCCATGAGGCCCACTTGTGAGTCACAGGTCCAGTGGGTAGAAGTGGGAGGTCAGCTCATTTAGCGTCTTCACAAAAACAGTAAAAGGCACTTCTCTAATCTTCCATTTTGGCAAATTCAACCTCATAATGCACATTCTACCTAGACAGTGACAGTGGTTGTCCAGAGATACAGGTGAGGCTGGCCCAGGTGACCTGCGCTTGGGGCTTTCCTGGGCTTCAGTGCAGGGAGTATGAGCTACATCCATTGACCCCAAGCTTGGGACCCAGGTGAGTCATCAGCAAGAGGGGGGCTTGAGATCCATCCCCTGACCAACCCCCTCAGAGTACAGGGAGGGCGGCTGATCTGCAGGGCCACCGACAGGGCCTTCTGTCAGAGCAGCCTCAGCACCCTGGTCTCCCACACCCAGTGGAGCCCCTCCACTACCTCGCCAGGCCTCCAAAAGGTGGTCTGTACTTCTGGAAGGTGATTTCTACCCCTGGAGGTGGTTTTAGCTGGCTATAGCTTAGCACATCCCTCTTTTATTTAAAATAACAAGTTCCTGAATGGATCAGAAAAATCAATGGATCTATTTAAACTTCAAACAAAACAATTCAGACAAAACCACGAACATTTAGAAAAATTTGTCCTGGGAAGATTGCCCTTTTTACACAACTAGATGTAAGTGCTGCCAAGGGCCAGAGTTGGGATGGAGAAAAGAGAAATGGAGAAAGATCTTACTAAATGGCCTTCATTTCCAAAGGGAGTGGAGTAAGGAGCTTAAACAGGGTGGTGAAGGAGAGGAGAGCTTACCAGAGGGAGTGTAAAAGGGGCCTTGCTGGGGACAGGCATGAGGGCCCACACCAGCTGGGAAACCCTCTTCTCCCTGCACATGGTGGGCACAGTGGTGAGGGAAAGAATGGTGGCGTGAAGCCTCCCACTCACTGAGGCTCCTTCGGGGAGTGCGGTTTATGCATGGGGGCCGCGATTAAAGAATGATGGACTCTGCGTGGTGCCATCATATGCCCCACACTGTACTGCCTTACCCCTCATTCATGCCGTCTTTCTCCTGAAATTCCCTTCCTTGCCATCTCAGCCTGATGACACCCTTTCACTCATCAAAATGTAATGAGCGCTCAGATTGCTCCACTAGCTGGAGGTAGAGATATGAACAAGGCAAACAGAGTAACTTTCTCCCCTGAGCTCAAGTGTGGGAGATGGTGGAGGTCAGGAGGTGGAGGACAGAGAGGAAGGCAGACAGCAATTAATAGTTAATCGCACTGGTAATTATTGCAAGACAGTCGAAGTAAATGCTATGAAGCAGACAGGCAGGGTGTTCTGAGCGTGTGATGGGATCCAGGCTAGTCTGAGGCAGGCAGGAAGGGCTTTTCTCGAAGAAGTGACATTCGAGCTCTGACAGCTGAGTGTGAATCAATTTGGAGGAGCTGGAGGGCATGGGAGGAAGAGGGGCCAGAATGTGTGTGGACTCTGAGGGGGATAGCTTGTTTGAGAACATGAAAAGTAGACATGGAGAGTGGGGTCCAGGAGAGCCCAGTCAAGTGGTGGAGGCATGGGAAGGGGCACCCACTCAAGACTGAGAGTCATTCCCTGAGGCTGTTTGCTTCAGAGAGAAAGGGAGAGAATTAAGGTGATGAAAGTGAAAGGTTAACAGACACCCAGCAGCTGGTGGTCAGAGTCAGATAAAGCGTAATGGAGCAGGCCTGTGAAAAGCAATAGGGAGTGGTGGGGACTGTAGAAAACTAAAGGAGTTCTTTTAAGGCATTTAAATTTAAAATATGTTAAAACCTGTTACTGGTCAAACAAAGCAAAATCTGAGGATCAGTATGGTTTTGGGTACTTGACTGTAGAGGAACAAGTTGCCTGGAAACAAAGAGTGTGGAGGAGGGAGCCGAGAACTGCTTGGCCACAGAGCCAGAAAAGGAGCCAAGAGAGCCCCTCTTCCCTGTTTTCTCCCTGAGGCTGTCAGATTACCTGCTCTCTACCCTTGCCCTTTGTGGCCCCCTCTTACTTGCCTAATGGATCTCACCCGTCTCCAGAGTCACCCCACTCTCTCTAAAAGCAGAGTCAAGGGCGGGATGCTGACTTCTGACTTAGATTAGATGAGATGAGAGGAGGTGAGCTGACTTGGCCAGAGGGCCCTGAGCAGCCGTCTTTAGCTCAGGATGGCCGCTGGTCTCAGGCACTGCTGGGTTCCCCGGTGCTCCACAAGACTGGCAAGCTCCTCGGACAGACGTGAAGATCTGAGGGTGGGGTAGAGTTGGGAAAATAATCAGAAGGTGCAGAAAGGAGTTGAAACAGATGCATAAGCCAAGAAAATAAGATTAGAGAATTGACAAATTTACCAGTCATTTCAACATTCATTTCCTAGCACAATTTTGGGTCATTTGCATCCCATAACTGGCTCTCTAAAAACTGGAAGCTTACTTGAGGACCTCGTCTACTTTGCTTTTGTGACAGTAACAAAGCATGGCTGAGCTTATCTTAAATGCAATCACATTTGATCAAAAAACAGTTATTTTTTTTTCCCTCTTTGCTGTGGAAATGACCTTACAGGTTTTAGGGGGTTTCCTGCACCTATAATCTCTTCTCTAATTTCCAGAGGGAATTTGCTCAGCCCTTTAATGTCTGCTTTTCCTGCAACTCTGATTAAGAACTAAATTCATTTTGCTAGATCTTTATAGGGCAAACCTCTTTACTTGACATAAATTTCTTCTCTTAAAGAAACATTTTTAAAGGTTATTTCAATATGTAAACTTCTCTTGCCACACACATGCATCTAATTGCTCGTTTCTATCTCCTATAACAGAATGTGGAAATATTCCTTGAAGGGAACAGTGCTGAGCCAGAATTTTGAAATGACAGGCTCATGAACAGCAAGTCCCCAAGTGCAGTGAAAAATTGTGACTTCTTGATGACCCAATGTCTGTTTCATTTAGTGCCAGAATAGCACTGGGTTTACGTTCATATATGTACTCTTTTCCTGTCAGTCCACAGGATTCCAGTGGAGCTGACACTGCCTTGAGTCCCAGAAGGGGCATTACATCTGGGCTGTGACAACCGGGTAATCACATTCTCTGGCTGGTGGGGGCCAGACACCTGACCAAAGGCTGGCCAATCAGGGTCAAGGGGACTCAACTCAGGACTTTGGATTCAGCTACTAGGGAAGAAGATTCTTTCCCTTTCCTGCTGAGGGCACATGAGGCTTGGGCTGCTCTGGCCACCCTGTCCTCACAGGGAGAGACATCTGAGAATGTAGCTGACACATCAGAAGATGGAGCCAAGGTAGAGAGAGAAATTGAGACCTAGGAACATCATTTGAACATTTGAATCGAGCCGTGCCTAAAGCCAGTCCTATCCCGTGGACTTCTACATGAGACCATAAGTTCCCAGCTTTTCCCAAAGTCAGTCTGAATTAGATGTTCTCAATGTTCTGGGTATCACCTATCAAAATATAAAGCAATGTAGCTGGTTTTAGGATACAGTTCCAGTAGAATCTGCCCGATTACTGCAGTCACACCTTATTATATATTCAATGTTCACTTTAACCAATGTGTTAGGCATTCCATTCCATCACCTCCACTTGACGCGCGGCTCTCCCAAGGTGACGTGGCAGTGCACGGGAGAGCTCCGATTTCCTCAGAGGCCTGAGAAGATCCCCTCCCTTCCCACATCCTCTTTCTTTGAAAGAAAACAAAAGTTTTCATAACAACCCAAGGAAAGTCCATCTGGAGAAAGACAGCTGAACCAGAGAGGTTCTTATTCACTGTGGCCTCATGATAGACAAAAATCAGGAAAAATCCCCAGTGTCCTGCCACTGGAGCCCCACACAGTGGAGCAGCAGGAAGCCTCGAAGAGGGCAGAACTAAATGCCCAATTGTCAAGAGATATCAAGTGGAAAGGCAAACATTGTGTGTGAAGTAGTATGGTGGTGTTTGGGGTTTTAAAGAAGGAACTAACTGGGGGGTGGGAGGAGGTGTGCAGACTGGGAGTCCAGGGGGCCTACAGCTGGGAAGGAAAGAGGTTATTTTCTGGAGGAAAAGGTAGGTCCTCAAGGGCTCTGCGCATTCATTCAATGTCTTAACATTCTCCTTGTGTGTCTTCTACCCAGTTATCTATCTGGGCTCTGTCTACAGAGGCCAGAGCCATGACTGCCTCGCTCTTTAATGCTCCTGAGGCACCTTATTTTGAACAATGGCATATGGCTTGAAATTCTATGTGAGAAAAGCCATTTCAGAATTACTAAGTTCAAGGGGAGGGAACAGAGTAAAGGATGTAAGAACCTAAGAATCTCATGAACCCCATGCCATCCCCAGGCTCCAGAGGAGGTGGCAGCAGGAATGCAGGTTCACAGCTGGGAACAGCAGCAGGTGCTGGGGAAACACTTGGAGAAGGGCAGGTACCAGCCTCTGAGGTGCGGGAGGGTCATAGGGCTCAACCTGAACAAGCACCTGGAGTTCAAGAACTGTCAGGCCAAATGCTCCACACAGCACTGCCAGCAGCAGCACAGCAGTGACCAGGGGAGGCCAGGACTCCTCCCACCCAGGCCTTTCAGGGACCTTGTCTCACTGGTTGATGCCTGGGCATCCAGCAGGCGCAGGCTCTGCCGACAGGAGCAAGTCCAGCACTAGGATGTCACTGAGTGTCTAGGAGATCTGGCCCTGAGAGGCACTGCACCTGGGTGGACAGAGGGTGCAGTCGGTGATCTTCATCGACGTCACTGTCCAAAGCAGTGGCCTGATGGTCTTCACTGCTGTCTGCTCTTCCATAGCATGAACAGCATGCCATCTATTTGTCCAGTCACTGCTGGTGGGCATTTGGCTAGTTTTCACTTTACAACCATCACAAACCATGCTGCCTTCATCATAGGGTTTGTTCCTAGGACCAGGACTGGGAGTGGTATTAACTGCTGCCTACATGTCTGGCTTCTTCTGTTCTGCTTTAGAGGATGCTGCCAGAGAGTGTTCCCAGGCTCCGACTGCTTTACTCTCCCACCAGCGAGCTCCTGCTGCTCAGCATCCTCAGCAACATTTGGGACGACAAGACTTAGTTTCTGTTGATCTGGTGGCTCTGTGGCTTTAATATTCATTTCCCTGGTGATAGTGAGGTTGAGCCCTCCCCACGTGTTCACCAGGCATTGGGATTTCTCACGTAAAGTGTCTGGGTTTTTTTGCCCATTTTTACTTGAGTTCGTTCTTATCACTTCCTTAACAAATAATGTGCTGTAAATACTGTTTTCCCATTCTGTGGCTTGTCTTTTCCTCTTTTATGGGTATTTCATGAATAGAATTTCTTGGTTTTGATGTTGTCTGTTATGTTATTTCTCAAACTATCTGTGGGTGATGAACCAGTTTTTTTCCCCTCCCATTTCCATCAGTAGCAGATTAGCATGTTCTAAAATAAGATTATTAATACATTTTTAAACTTTAAGACAAAAACAACAAAAAATACCAAGACAATTGTCAAATCTTGCTGAGTCCTTCTTGGTGACTTTGACTTTTAAAGCTCTATTAAGTTTTCTTCAGGTGAAGCACCTCTTTGAGCCAGACACATGTAGACACTTGACAGATGCTTTAGAATCTAAAATGCAGACAATAAAGATATCGCACTCCCCTGGAATGCCAAAAATGGAGCATGAGAGAAAAGAAAGTTGAGCTTCCAGACGTGAAAAAGAGGAACGCTGGAAAACTAGTGTAATGACAAAATGTCCTCAAGCAGAGAAGTCTGAAAACAACCAGATTAGGGATGGAACACACTCTTCCCTAGCACATTTCTTGCCATATGAACAATCTACCAGCTTCAAAAACTGGGAACATGGTGATATTACTCATTTACATGCCATTTCCCAGAATGCTCCATGGGCTTATCATTTTGAGGAAGAAGTCTGCTAGCGTCAGAGTTTGCAAATGAAAGTGAATTAATTTTAGATACGGCAAGATCATATATACCACTTGTTCATGAGATTCTTCAATAAAGTTTTGGTTTTGTATCCCCCAATGTCTATCAGTTTGCCTAGATGGTATCTGGAACATTTTCAAAGATTTCAAGCTTTGTGGGAGTAACCTCAGGTTACCCCATTTCAGACAGGTGTTCTCTGAAAGCCATGTACCTATTAACTCTTTGTCAAGCTCATTTCTAAATGGATCACTTCTGGGCCAACTTTTCCATAATTACAGATACTGACAGAGACAGAGAGACAGATGCAGAAAGAGAGAGCTGCACCATGCCAGTGTGTCTTCATGTGTTCAGAATTAGCTGCTCATTTTCCTTGATCTCCTTTCTACCAGACTCTGATCTGCAGATAGATGGCATCAAATTATAACTGGAAGTAGTGAATCTTTCCTGACTCACTTCAGTTTTCTACACTGTCCCACTGTCAGTTTGCTGGGCAATAAAGGCAAAGAAATAGGAGTATCTCATAGTCCTCCAGCATCATGAATGTTCAGATTGTGCATAAATGTTTGAGTGAGTGTTGACTGTGCAGGTGTTTTGTGTGTGTGTGTGTAGTATAGGTACATGCACGTGTATTGAATGTGTGGGTGCATTGCTCGTGTATTTGTTGAGTATGTACGTTGAGGGTGTGTATTTGTTGAGTGTATACTGAGCTTGTGTGTTGTGTTTCTATGTTGTATATGCTGAGTATAGTGTGTGTGTGGGATGAGTGTGTATTTTAAATATCTGGATGTTGAGTGTGTGTATGTGTGTGTGTGCCTACAGGTGTGCCCCTCGTAGGGATGAGTGTGGCAAGGACACCAGGAGAATAAAAACACACCCACTTTAGATCACATGTGTTGCCTCAAGGACCCAAAGAGCTGCTTACAGAGTCTGGTTTCTTTTGTGAGCTTTGCAGCTTGGCACAGAGCAGCGTGTGGTTTGTCGGGAGGGGATTATTCTGAGTCACCTGGGAAAGTGGAGGGGACACCGGGGTTGCCTCTGTCCCCAGCCCGCACTACGTCTCATGGGTAGGATCTTCCTAGTCAGCTCTTTCTTCAGTGGGACTCACAGCTCACTTTTGCTCCCTTGCAAGTGAATAAATGAACCTTAATTTATCTAGAGAGAATCACTGAATGGGACACAGTTCACCAAAAAAGGATGTGACAGGTCATGGGGGCCAGGGGATGACTACAAACTGACCATCAAGAAATCAACTCTCAGGCTCTCTTGTCCAGTTACCTATGTAACAGGTTTAATCTAAACCCTCAACTAAGCAGAAGGCTCTTCAAGGCCTGGGATTTTCTCTACATTTCTCTCCCCAGTCCTCTTCCCACCTTTCTCACACTTGGCACCATTAAGCTCTTAATAATAACAGTGACAGGAGCTAATACTGGCACCTGCTCTGTGCCAGGCCCAGAGCCAAGGCTCCCCTCTAGCTGACGAGGGGCCATGTGACTTGGCCTTGCAGACTCTGCCTTCTCAGGTCAGACCCATTGCTCCTGCACTGTAGCCACACCAGCCCTTTCCCTGTTTCCTGAGCCCCCTAGGCTTGCCGGCATCTCAGGGCCTTTGTGGGGTGCAGTCCCTCGGCCAGGAAGGCTCGCTCTCCAACTCTCAGCATGGTCAGCTCCATCAAATGCACTGAAAGGCTACCGAAGCCCAGCAAAGGGCGGAGCAGCAATCGCTCGACTGAGGCAATGCAGACATCCTTGGCCATCTTCACAGCACGGCCTCAGTGGCTTAGGTGTGGTGGAAGCCGCACTGCAGAACAGAGCAGACAACAAAGAGTGAATAAGCAGAGATGGTAATTATGAAAATTTTGCCGTGAAGGGCAGCTGAAAAAAAAGGCGATGGCAGGAGAGACATGTGGGCTCAAAGAGAGGCTTTTGTTTGCTGATTTCCTTTAAAGGCAAGAGATAACAGTGTGTGTCTCTGTATGGATGGAAATGACACGGGCCTGTGGCACAGGGCCCAGATGCAGGGGGGAGAGGGGGTAATTTCTGGGAAGAGATGTTTTGGAGAGGAGTAACATGAAAGCAGTGTCTGATAAGGAAACTGCAGATTGCCAGGCAGTATTGATTTTGCTCAATAAGTCTAATGCTGACAAAAACCTATGAGTAGATATTGTTATTCTTCTGACTTTATCGATGAGGAATCTAAGGGCAAGAGATGTAAAGGAACTCGCCCAAGATCACACTGCAGGCAAGTGGAGGAGTTGAGGTTTGAAGGAGATTCTGAGTCCTGGTTAGGTACTGGATCCAAGTGCAAGATTATAAAGGGTGAAAAGTCAGCTCCTTAAGTCTGAAAAAAGCCTTCGTGTATCAGGGATCCACCTAAAATTCAAGGCTCACGATTCAGGTGCTAGAGAAATGAAACAGCTCCAGTGGTTTATAAATAGGAAAATTTCCTAGATTTTGCTATGTTACTAAAAAATGCTTTTGTTGGCTGGGCTCTGTATCTCAACGGGGAGGTAGGCTCTTAGGCGTGTGCACTGAGCCACGTTTCTGTTTGTGTGTTTTTCTGTATGTGTGTTACATTTCATAACAAAAAGTTTAGAAATAAACCTGAACTGCCTTGCTGAAGATAGATGCTATGTGACAATATCCCCTAAAAATGTGGTTCAGCAAAGTAGTTCCCAAACCTGACTAGTTACTGGAACCACATGGGAGAGCTTCTAAAATGAAGATTCCTGCCCAAGACCAGAGACTCAGAATTCCCTGGCCCAGGGCCCAGGGCCCAGGCTCGTGTCTCCAGAAAGCTCAGAGAACTCTAGTGCTCAGCCAAATTTGGGACCTGCAGGCCTCAAGTACACAAATTCAGTTAAAATCAGTGTTTTCTGCAGTGTTGTTTCCTATGGCCTTTGGAGATGCTCAAAGTATGCCTCACACCAGAGAGAAGGCTGGTGGATTCAACGATGTCCTATGTTTTCCTTTTCTGCCCTGCACCGTGAATTTGACTCTAACCTTTAACTTCCTTCTGATCTTTCCATGGCTCCATACTTTCCATTGCTTCCATTTCTGAGGAAAATAATAAATGCAAACACAATGTGTTATAAGAAAAATCCTTTAGCTCAAACACCAAATGATCCAAAAATTGATTGCATCTCTTCCTTCTCTTTAGCATTCCTCTGTCTTGACAGCTCCCAGAGAAAGACCCCAAGCCACACTGAGAAGAAGTTTTAGTGGGGTTGGAGCCACAGGCAGAGGAACTTACCCCCATGCCGGAACTGATAAGCCTCTTGGCTGAAATGAACGTGACACTGGTTAGGTGGAACACATGCTGAGAAGGCCACAGCAGCGTGTGGTCAGAAAAAGAGGCATCCTCCATACTCACCTTTAATCTAGAGCCAGCTGAGAAGAGACCGTGGCGACCGTGGCCACTCCTGGAAGGGAAGGACAGAAGAGCTCAGATGGGGGTTGATGACTTAGAAGATAAGAGCAGAGCTGGCACGAACCAGCCTGTGTTCACAACCAGACTCACAGCGGCCCTGAAGAGGCCAGCTCTGAGCGCATCACTCCCCCTCATTCTCTGACCTAGAACGAACACAATCCAAAGACAATCCCAGTTGCTGCCCTTCCCCAAAGGGAAAGAAGAAAGCAGCATGGATCTGGCTCTGCAATTTGAATCTCAGGAATGCCTAAGAAACATGGTCGCTGCCTTCAGAACGAAGATGCTCGACTCAAACTTGTCTCATTCTTGGCAGCGTATTGTGTCTCCCCCACCCCCCACACCGTGACACAGCGGAGTGAGGTGAATAAGCTCTGCGCAGTGAGAGAAAAATAGATCCCCAAATGCCTTCCATTACGCTAAGGGCCTGTGTCACCGGCTGTGGCGGCAGGGGGTGTGGTCGCCATCCATCACAGGCAAACAGCCAGAACTTCTGACTCCCTCTGTCTTCAGGGCTATTTGTGGTTCTAAAAGCACAACGAGCAGGGACTAAAAACTGGTAAGTACAGAGAAGTCTAAAAGCGCTGCGGGGGGTCTTGTGAGAACCCCTGGGATCAAGGGCCTTTGTGAGCAGGAGCCCCCAGGGCCACACAAAAAGAAAACAGATCCACTTTCTGCTGCCTGATTCTGCCCTGCAGAACCACTTCTTCCTCAGAGTAAGAATAGCTAATATTTACCATGTGCCTGTTACATGTCAGGCACTGAGCAAAGCATTTTCCATGGGTCATGTAAATTAATTCACGTACGTGTGGTGCCTGAGGTGGGCACCAACAGTATCTCCTTTTACAGGTAAGGAAACTTAAGCTCAGGACATTTCACTACCTGGCCCACAGGGACCTGATTAAAGCAGGACACAGATGCAGGTACTCTTCAGAATATAGCTCTAAACAAACACAGCCATATTATATTATCTGCTTGGCCAAATACAGTTATTTGAAAAGTGAACAAGAGAACTATAGGAAAAAATTTCTGTTGCTTCATTTATTTGTCTCATAGACTCTCCAGGTCTTATTCCAGAAATAGGAATCCTGGTCAATGATCCCACATGTCCTAGAAGCATTTTTTTTGTCAGCAAAGGCCCTCTAAGAGGAGGACATGGGGATGTGGTCATTGACAGAACTAGAGGTTTGCTAAAAAGGAAGCAGCGGGTACAAATCACAGGTAATTATGTGAAACTTCTTTCTGCCTTACAAAAACTTAAAACAAAAATTAAAAGCCTCCGTCTTCCTCTATGCATTATATTTTAAATATATATTCAAATATTTAAAATATGTATTCAGTTCCAAGAAATTTCCCCCCCCCTGGAATTGACCCCATTATTCCCTACCCAGCTGGAACCACGTAGGAAGGAAAACAAATGTTTGTCTCAATGGCATTTTTTTATTCAGCTAATTGATTTTTTTTAAAATAACAATAAAGGTTGAATAGCCAGCCATTTAATTACTAGGAGCTTTTTATTTGCACTGTCATTAACTTCACAGCTGCCCTGCCCGTGAGGAGGGGGGGGGTACAACAGAGACTCAGCTGCAACTGTTAGTGTTAGACAGGAGGAGCATGAGAAAGGCCTGACTCCCCCCTGCAAGGTCAGCAAGGGCTTTAGGCTGATTTCAGCAGCACAAATCCCAACCTCAAATTGAGGAAACTACATGTGGAATCATGTCAAATGGAAGCGATGCTGGAGAGCCTTCTCCATTTACAGATGTGGGAATCTGAGGTTCAGAGAGGTTGAGTGGCTTGCCTAAGATCACACAGCTAGTCCCCTCCAGCACTGGAACTGAAGCCCAGGTCTCCTGATTCCTTAGCAATTAAAAAAAAGCAAATGGAAGCACACATACAGAAAAGTGTGCATATCGTAAGTGTGTACAGCTTGAATAATTATGCTTCAGTGAACACATCCATGCAGCCACCCACCCAGATCACCCACACCATCTCTAGCACCTCAGAAGCCCCAGATGCTCTCCTTCCATTCACTATGAACTTCCCCTTTCTCCATAACCTTGAGTTCTCATATGGTAGACTGCCTTGGTTTGGACCATGTTCTCTCAATAAAGAGATGTTTTATGTAAAGTTTAGCTATTCAGACCTAAAAAATAAATCTTCTCATTTTTTTTAGGAGGTATTTCATGGTGTATTAAGAAAGCATATCCCCAAAAGAAACCCCATACCCATTAAGGAGTATGGGGACTCCCCTGGGAGGGATGAGAATGTGTGGGAACTAGACAGAGGGGATGGATGCACAATCTTATGATGTACGAAATGTACTGAATTGTTTGCTTTAAAATGGATTATTTCACATTATATGAATCTTACATCAAAGCAACCTCATCACTTAAGATATGTGCTTTTCATTGCATATAAGTTTAAACTAAAAATAGCTATAAAAATAGTTAACTAAAAAAGACAGCATGCCCTCATCAGCACGTTCCACATGTCTTGTCCTATGGTAGCTGGCCGGCAGGCCTTATATTGCCACCTGGGTGCCTTCCCCTGGTGCTCTCCTCATTGCGCTGCCCCATGGCTTTCATCGTTATCCCTCCACTGAAAGACCCTTTATCAGGGTCATTTTGCCAAAGCCATCAGTCAGTTCCCTGTCCTCATCCTACTCAACTTCTGGGCAGCATTCCACCTGGGCGACAGCTCTCTTATTCCTGAAGCACTTGTCTCGGCTTGTGTGATGTCATGTTCATCTGGTTTTCTTCTTACCTCACTGGCCATTCCTCGTTCTCCTTTTCTCCTTCTTACCCTCTGAATGGTGCAGAGACCCGGGCTCTGTTTTTGATCATCTCTCTTCTCTACCTTAGCTGAGTGACCAATCCACCCATATGTCTATGACTTGCAAGTGAGTATCTCCAGCCTAAACTTCTCCCCCAAACTCCTGTTGTGGCTAACCAACTGCCCGCTCAATAAGCTTACTTGGATGTCTCAGAAAGAGAGAGAAATATGGATTATTTTCTACTCCAGGTCTGCTCCCCAACTCAGTTTTCTTGTTTTCTGTAAATCACAGCATCGCTCACCTAACTCTTGGGCTAAAACTTAGTCATAGTGCTTGAACCCCCCTACACCTGGCTTCCAACCCATCAGTATATCCTACCGGCTCTGCCTCCAGACTTCAGCCTAAATCCAACCACCTCTCTCCATTTCTGTCTCTGCCACTCCAACCCTGGTCCAGGGTCCCTCCATCATCTCTTGCATGGACTATTGTGGTGTCTCCCCATAGATCTTTCTTATTTCCCTTTTGTCTTCCTTTATTCCAGCCTTCACCTAACAATGTGAATAACTTTTTTAAACAGTAAGTCAGACCCTGTTAACACTCCAGTGAATGCCCATTGCATTCAGAATAAAACCCAAACTGTCACAAGCTCAATGGGTCTGCCCCAGCTTACCTGTCCAGTCGCATCTCTCTCCACTTGTCCCCTCCCTCAGGACATACCAGCCACACTCACCTTCTTTCTGACCACTGAACAGGCCAGTCTTATTCCTGTCTATGGGCCTTCACATTTGCTCTTCTTTCTGCTGGGAGCATTCTTCCCCAGTCTCTCAACAGCTGCCTCTTCTTATCATTAGAACCTCAGCTCAAATATTGCCTCCTCCCCCTGGCTCCCCTCATTAAAAGCCTTTCCTGCTCAGGATCCTATTTATCTTTTCCATAGTTCTTATCTATACCTAAGCTTTTTAAATGTATTTATTGTTGACTTGTTTAATGGCTATCTCCTCCTACTAAAAGGTGAGTTGCTTGAGGGCAAGGATTCTCCTTATTCATGGCTACATCCCCAGTGCTTAGAACAATATTTGGTAATAGAAAGTACTATATAATTATAAGTTTACTGGCTAGATCTCACCAATTCATCTGAGAAGATGGAAAAGCAAACATGTTTATCACAATGTGGTCTCCATTATTTATCAGTGCATACAGGACACCAAGCTGCAAGTATCAGAGGTCCAATTCAGGCTGTCTTAAGCAATAGTAATAGAGAAGACTGGAGTAGGCCTGTTTTCAGGCACAGCTGGTACCAGAGACTTAAATTTTACCACCAAAATTATTGCCTTGCAATCTCTCCCTCTCTCTCTCTCAGCTCTGCTTTCCTCTGTATTGTCCACTTGCTAGCAAACCCTCTCCATGCAATGGCTTGTCAGCTCGGTGCTCACATTCTACGTTGTACAGCTCAGCAACCCAAACAGAGAGTTGCCTCCTCCCAGAAGCTGAAACAAAAATCTCAGAGTTGACTTTCATTAAACCAGCTTGGATCACGTACCCATCCTTGAACCAATCACTGTGTCTACAGGGAAGGAATATGTTAATTGTCAAGTCAAGTGCTTGCCCACTCCTGGGTGGGGGGTGGGTGTAGTTGGGAGTTGGCATTCCCTGAGTGAATGGTTTGGGGGTGGGAGAAGTGTGGTCTCCCAAGGGAAACTGCAGTGCTATCACCAGGGGAAGTGCAAGTTGTGGTGGGGGGAAAGATGTCCACCATGACTATCTTTTTTTCAGGGAACTGAAATTTTTGCCAGTTCTCGAAGAGCGTGTAATTTCAGAGATGAGGATGAAGAACTATCTGATTGCCGCCATCTTACAGGGCAGCCTGATGGGCTCATTCACACAGCACTGACCATGTATCTTACCTCGGGAGGCCTCTGTGACACCCCTTACACTGAAAGGACTGCTTTGTCAGTCTGTCCGCCAGCCCGAGTTTTATTACTAAGGCCTGACCTCAGCACCTTAGTGTCAATGTCCTCAGCTCTTGTTTCTCTAGTGGCCGGCCTCACAGTCCTTGAGCCCTGCCCCAGGAAGCCCTTGTTTCCCTAGGTCTAGGACGGTTTACAGTTGCCTGCATCATCGTAAATCTTCCTGGTTTTTCCCTTCAACTCATTTTGCAGAACCACTCCTTCCTTCCCAGCCCCTCTGAATTTGCTCCCTGACCCACCTGCCTGGATCACAAG